GATGAAAAAAATTGAGAGTTAAATTGATTTAATGCGTGTCCAACATTCCAAAATTTAGTGGGATATGTCTCAGCACATTACACCTACTTATTGAGTAAGATTTCTGAATTCTAGTTTTCGATAATATCACAATCAAAGACTATAGCCTGATTTAAAATTGTTTTTACTTTTACTGTTGTAGTGCTGAGGGTTGAAGCCTCTTTCATGCTAGTTTAAGTGCTCTATCACTGAGCTATATACTGCTAGCCCCAACTTACTTTGTCCTCCCTCTCTTTGGGACATGGTCCCACTGTATAACTAGAATGTCCTGCAATTCAGGAATCCTCTTGGCTCAGCCTACTGAGTGCTGGGATTATGGATATGCAACACCATGCCATGCCTTGTACTCATCAGCCTTACTTTTAAAGTAACATGCACCAGTTAAAGCATACGAAAGTATATACTGTGAAACTGGAAAAAACATTGTTAAAATAAGTAGTGTCCAGTAGACTTTAGATGTATGGGTGATTAACCAGCTGTGCATGGTGGTGCTTGCCTATAACCTAGCACTTGGGAGGCTGATGCAAAAGGTTAGGGAGTGGAGTGCCTAAGGTTGCCTTGGCTTCATAGTAAAACTTGCTATACACACACACACACACTCTCTAAAGATTGGAGTGCCTAAGGTTGCCTTGGCTTCATAGTAAAACTTGCTACACATACACACACACACACACACACACACACACACACACTCTAAAGATTGGAGTGCCTAAGGTTGCCTTGGCTTCATAGTAAAACTTGCTACACACATACACACATTAAAGATAGACCTAAAATTTTCTTGGCTCTTAAAAGGCAATTCTAATTTTGTTTTGTGCACTGGATATAAGAAGACATCTAACATAGCATTCTGATGTGCTGTCTTTCCAAAATAATCTTAAAAAAATTCAGATATCAAGTTATTTCCTAATACATTGTTCTTAGTCTTTGTCATTAGAAACTGGCTAAGCTAATTTGTGACTAGGGAAAAACCTAGGACTGAATAGAAAATTTTAAATGCCAAAAAACCCACACTTTACAGTTATTTGATTGTTCTTTAAGTGCAAGCGTTTAGTTATCATTATTACTAATCAGTGTACCCTGGCTCCAAAGGCCTGATGACTTCAAATGACTTTTCATCTTGTCTCTAAGATCCTCTATTTTACAAGGGATCAAATTTCCTGTGAGGTTCCTAACAGTGTGATTAAATTTTAGAGACTGAAACTATTGAGCACTTAAACATGCAGGAATGACTATGCAAACCTAATTCATGGGTTTCATCCGGAGTTTTGGGACATGTCTACTAATTTATGGTGATGATGTTGAAACTAATCTTTGCTAGGGATTATGGAAGCCATAATAGTTTATTGATGGTTCAGTTATTGTTTGTTGAAGCAGATTTACACAATTATAGTTTAATGACATAACAAGAATATTGTCAACTAGGAGAGCATGACATGAAAAATTAAACTTCCAATTAATATAATATGTATTAGTTGAAATGCTAATTTTCATGGTGATTTAGCCTCTTAGAAATCCTTGGAACACATTATTAGCTTATGAATTGAAAACTATGTTAATGAGTAGTGGGAAAGAACTTAATATTACTCTAAAAAGATGGAGAATTAAATATTCAGTCCAACTAACATTTATTGAGTGCCTGAATTAGACTCATAAATACAAGTCTTCATCATAGGATGGCATTGACCTGTCATCCTCTTTAGCTACCCAGTTCTGGGATTACAGGTAAGAGTTAACACATCCAGCTTGTTACTTATTTTTTAAATTAACATCTCCTCCATTATTTCTGAAGGTAAAATTCATATAACACAAAATGAATACTTTTATTTTATTTTTTATTTTTATTTTTTAATTTAATTTTATTTTATTTGTGAACATACTGTACAGAGGGGTTACAATTGCATGGGCAGGATAATGCGTACATTTCTTACCAAGCATTGCAGCCTCCTCTGTTTACCCTTCACATCCCTTCCCAGCCTCCCCCCTCCCCCCCCAAAATGAATAATTTTAAAGTGAACAATTTGCTGGGGACATGGCTACAAGTGGCTAACAAGCACAGGGCCTCAGTTCTAACCTCTCTACTGCCAAAACCCCAAAATCAAAAGAATGTCAATAAGGCAAGCAATTCAATGGTATTCAATACATTCACAGTTATCTGACCATGGCCTCTCCTTTTCTTTCCTTCTTTCTCTCCTTCCTCCCCCCTCACCTCCCCTTTTTTTTTTGTTGGTCATGGGGCTTGAACTCTGAGCCCCAGGTGTTATCCCTCAGTTCTTCAGCTCAAGGCTAGTGTTCTAGCACTTGAGCCATATAGCCACTTTCAGTTTTCTGAGTGGTTTATTGGAGATAACAGTCTCATGGCCTTTCCTGCCCGGGCTGGCTTTGAACCACAATCCTCAAATCTTAGCCTCCTGAGTAGATAGGATTATAGGCAAGATCCACGGGCGCCTGCCTGGAACCATGATTTTATTTCTAGTTTTTCTTTTTCTTGCCCAAAGCACTTAGAGGAGGCCTTACAGGGGGCTATGTTCAGGGAACATTATTTCTCTTTGTATTTGTTGGTTCTTTGATTAGTGTTTATAACCAATTGATGTGTTTTGCGCCTTAAGCATTAATTTTAGAAGGAGTAGACACGTCCAGGACTTGAAAGTTTTACATATGGGTGATGTTTGATGTGAGACAGCAGATCTAAGTAAACCAAGGGTGCTATTTTAAGCTACTGTGCCTCTAGGTTGTGCTGGGTGGTGACAGAGGAAAACAAAGTCAAAGTTCCCTCCCTTAACAGTATATATTATATTTTAGAAGATATTGTTAAGATTTGTGCATGCTCATTCGGTTATATAATGGGCTTTGAAAAAAATCCAGGAGCTTATAAAAGAGAGCTAAAAATAATATAGTAAGTAAAACTCAGGATGACAAAAGAGTAAACTGTATTATTAATCTTTATTTTTTTTCTACCACTCTTTTTGGCACATCTATAATCTCATGACTCAAGTGTTATGACATTGATTTTGAAATAACACACGGGTTTAGTAAAAGCTTAGAGGAGGCCTACATAGTACTTATGACCCAGGATATTTCGACTCTTCTTTTGCTGACATGAATATTTCTGAATAGTGTTGATGTTTATATAATTCCACTGAAGCTAAAGGCTCAATTTTGGACTAAGCATTTCTCTAGCTCTGTTTAGAATAGTATGTAATGAATGATATAAACAGTTTTATAAGACTGTATGGTACAGCCATATAATTTGCTGATTTTTTTTTTAAAGCTGGAAGTAAAATTCTTTACAAACTTGAAAACAGTCATTTAATGTGATATAGCATGGAACTTCTTGAATTAATTTAGAATGATTTGCTTTATCCAACTTTAAAGTTTTTCTAGGAAAAAAGAATGAAACAGGAATAATGTATTTAAGCTTGTGGTTGAATGTCTGTCTACGTGTAAAACAAGTCCCAGTGCTCAGAAAGAGAGAAGTGGTATGGATAATTCTAATCAGGAAAAAAAAATCATTTCTATTTGGAATTTGAATGAATTATGCATTTTTTTCCTGTGGATTTGGCTTTCTAGTTAGATACTGCTTAGGCTAAAATGAAATTGGTTTTCAATCTATTCTCTCAGCTTATATCAATTTACAGTGGGACCAGTGGGATGTTGGAAACAAATCAGGCTAAGATTAAAAAATTTGTAGTGGATAATATACAAAGTGGATAATATACATGTGTTTAGTTGAGAATTGGCTACAGATAAGAGACTTCTGATTTTGTTCCTCTCCTAGTGTGGATTTTTTTTTTTAAAACACTGATTCTGCTTGTAGAAAAGAGCTGCTGAGTTACATCTGCTTCTGCCTCATTAACTCTGTTGGTTGGTGTCAGATGAGAGCTAATTTTGAGATTAAATTGAGGAGGGGGGTGTGTATACTGGTAGCTGGGGGAAGGGAGAAGGACATAAGGTTGGTTGTTTTGTGTTGGATCAAAATAGTTATTCACAGCTGGTTTAAAATTTTTTTTTTGCTTTTGAAATTAATATCACTGTGTCCTAAGATGTCATCTTTGTGAGTACGTGTTTACTATTGTGAATATTGATAGGTCCTCTCTTAGGTGAAGTTCTTGGTCATATCTTGGTAGTGTAGTCAGTACCTAGGTGCCAGGTAGTCTTTGGGACAAATAGTGAATGCTGTCCAGGAAAGCGAAACTGATCTTAAAACAAATTTTGACTTTCCCACATTCCCCCCCAAATGTTACATTTGTATAGCTATGTGAGTAATGGTGTTTGTTTGTTTTTTTCTCATAATGGGAAACTGTGTGCGTGCGTGCGTGCGTGCGCGCGCGTGTGTGTGTGTGTGCGCGTGTGTGTGTGTGTGCGTGCCCACACGTGCTTGAACTCGCCTGGGCACTGTCCTTGAGTTTTTTTGGTCTACCACTTGAGCCACAGCTCCACTTTCAGCTTTTTTGGTGCTTAATTGGAGATAAGAGTCTTATATAGACTGTCTTGCCTGGGCTGGCTTCCTCACATGTCAGCCTTCTGAGTAGTTAGCATTATAGGACTGAGCCACCAGCACTTGATCAGAAAATCTAATTTTCAGTGTTTTGAGAACATGTGCTCACTTGGGAAGTGCATGTACAGAAATTAAGATGATGTAGAGATTACCATGGCCTCTGAGCAAGGATGGTTGGCCTGAACATTTGTGATGTGTTCATATTTTAATGCCAATGATTTTGTGGGGGAAACAATTGGGAGAAGCAGTGTGCCCACCCTCCCCACCCCCAAATGAAATTACTTTTTTAGACACTTTCCTTGGTGCTGTATTTCCTGGTCACATATCCTTGAAATATATTGCCAGTTGGAGTATATGTATGGTTGTGGAGTTGTGTTTGTTATTAGTTTGTAATAGTTTTGTTGCTGAATTTAAGAGATGCCCTTATGCTCAAGTGATCATTTGATTTTTTTTCTTTTGACAGATTGGCCTGAAGACCTGGACAATCTTCATTTTTGTTATGGACTGTTTTTAAAGTGTGTGGAGTTCGAGTTCCGGTATTTTCCTTTATTTTATTACATTTTTAAATTATGTTAGTATTACTGAAATGTAATGGTAATGGATATGAACGATTATTTCAGTTATGGATACAGATTGTGGTAAAAGTTTGTCATGAGGACATATTTTGTATACTTATTAGTTATGAAGTGTGTTTTGTTTTAATATATGCTCCTATGTAACCAAAATGCCTAAAAGCAACTTTGCAATATTGGACACTTTCCTGTGATCTCTTCTGCTTTCTGCAGTTGTGTTTTATACAGTCGAGTTAAGTTAATTGTGATTCATCTTGGATAAATGGTGAAAGATGGAATAATTACTTGGATCTAGTGAAATGTCTTCTAATGAAATTTTGCCCCAAACCATTTTACTTTGGAAAGATCAGTTTCCTGTTCTAAACTTACTGACACAGAATGATTCCTGTGTTCTGTGATGAAATTGGTTACACTAAAAAGCCAGTGATTTCATTCCTAAGCATGCCATATTCCAAGTTTTATTCACATTTTTGTCAGTGATTTCTATAATGGCACAAAAGGCAATGCTTATTAGATTTGCAGATGATAGATATTACAGAGTCAAGATTCAAAACAAATCTTTAGAAAGTTGGAAGATAGACTCAAACCAACAGGATGAATCTGTAGTAAACTTTTTTTTTTTTTGGGTTGGTTGTAGGGCTTGAACTCTGGGCTTGAGAGCTATCCCTCAGCTCTTCAGCTCAAAGCAAGCACTCTACTGCTTGAGCTACAGCATCACTTCCGGTTTTCTAGTGGTTTAGTAGAGATAAGAGTCTCACGGACTTTCCTGCTAGAGCTGTCTTTGAAACGTGATCCTCAGATCTCAGCCTCCTAAGTAGCTAGGATTACAGGCGTGAGCCACTGGCACCAGGCTGTAGTAAACTTTAAATCTCATCATTTAAATTTGTGTAAGGAAATGAAAAGAAAGTTTCTGTTTGACAGCATTTTTCAAGATTTGGCATTTTAGTTGGACTTTATGCTCAGTATGGCTAGTATGGCAGGGCTGTTGAGGGAATTTCTATATTTCTAATTGAATAAGGTATGGAATGTCAGATTTTAAGATAGACATTAGTTAAAAATAGTGAGCAACATATTACAATTGGTGGGGGTCAAGGAATGAGATGTGAGTGGTTTATTAAGGTGAGGCTGAAGGAAAGTGACTTTTAATTGTTAGTCTTTTAGTTTCATTTCTGTGGAGGGGGTGGAGGTGGGTGGTGTTATTGGGGTTTGAATTTAGGGTCTCACACGCTGTCATGTGGCCTTTTCACTTAAAGCTGGGACTCTACCACTTGAGCCACAGCTCTACTTCTGGCTATTTGCTGGATTAATTGGAGATAAGAGTCTCATGGACTTTTCTATCCCAGCTGTTTTCAATTCATGATCTTCAGATCTCAGCCTCCTGAAGTAGCTAGGAGTACCGAAGTGAGCTACCAGCACCTGGCTTGTGATTTAAAAAAAAAAAAGTTATTAAATAGTTGTATAAAGAGGTTACAATTCCCTAAGTTATAAGTACAGTGCTTCTTGATCAATGTCACCTCTTACATTAGTCTCTTCCATTTTTGTTTTCAAGAGTTTGAAGGCCTGTCATATTGAAGGAATAGTAAATAAAAACAAATGTGATGGTTAGGACTAGAAGTCACAGGGAGGCAGCTGTGTATGTGTGCGCGTGTGTGCACGTGCATGCGTGCTCACGTGCCAGTCTGAGGTTTGAACTCAGGGGCTTGGTGCTGTTTCTTAGATTTTTTGCTCAAGGCTAGCTCTATACTGCTTTAGCCACAACTCTACTTCTGGCTTTTTGGTGGTTAGTTTCTTCCCTGGGCTGGCTTCAAACCATGATCTTTAGATCTCAGCTTCTTGAGTAGCTATGATTAAAGGCATAAGCCACTGGTACCTGGTGGGAGGCAGCTTACCGGCCCCCCTTCCCCCATGAGCAAGAAACATATTACAAGTAGAGGTGTGCAACAGTGACATGAGCTGCCTTTAAAAGTGACTAATTTTCATTAACTGCAAATGTTTTAGGTAAAGATGTGATGGCTCCTTTTTGAGGATGTTGGACAAAGTTTTTTTTGTTGGACAACTAAGTGTTGGACTGGATGATTTTGAAGATCTCTTTGGCCCTGGGTTTTTGAATATAAGAAGACAAAAATGAAGGGAACATATACTTCCTTGATCTGAAAAGAGGACAACCACCTCCTTAAATTGTCTCTTTCAAGCTGTTGGAACAATTGTTTTGGCCCAGTTGTTTTTCAGCAATACTGCAGAATCTTTGTGTTCTATTCTTCAGTATATATCTTGTTAAAGTTTCTAGAAATCCTAAAGGTATATTATATCCTATTAGATATACTTTATCTAAATAACCTACGTGGCAACATGATTGAAGCTTAAGTCAGTTCTCGAGGTTTCCCCGCTAGACTTTGGTAGAACTAGGATGTAGAGTGATGAAAGTGTCTCTGCAGAGGCAAAGCTGCTAGAGAAGACAGTTATGGCCCAGGCAAGAACAGTATTGGACTTGGATGCTAAAATAATGGCATTTGAGTCTTAAGCCTGAAGTTGTTACATTGAGCAAGTTTCATCTTCCTGTGAGCCTGCTTACTTTTAGAATTGTATAGAAAGATTAAATGGCAAATTTACATGTGAGCACACTGTAAACTTTAAACTATAAAAAGAGGTAAGATGTAGGTGTTATTGGAGAACAAGATTCAACCCAAGTCTGGCCCAGTTCCTAGACCCAGATTCTTTCTCCTGATGCTCTTGGCAGATTTCTTTAGTACCAGATTGGAGATGAAGAATGGACCATCTATGCTAGGACTCTCTCAGAAAGCTTTACTACTGTCCAGCTGGAATCAGATCTGTAGGAACTTCTCTTGTATTGATATGTTTAATAGTTCCAACGTTTTGTGTGTGTGATATTTGGAATGGAATCCAGTGCCTCACTTATGCTAAGAGCAAGCACTCTTACCACTTGAGCTACACCCAACCCTGTTTCTGTGTATTAAGGTCAACTAGAATAGTATTTATTTTAAAAGCAAAGAGTTATTATATTAGTTTCAGTCTTCCAACTAGTGGGATAGAGTATTATGGATCCTATACAGAGTAATGAGAGGATTTAGTTCTTAGAAGTAGTTAAGTGGGAAATTTTCTTATGTGTGAGACTTTGAAATATATGTAGTACCTAGCTGGAATCAGTCCTTTTTTTTTTTTTTTGTCAGTCATAGGGCTTGAACTCTGGGCTTGGGCACTGTCCCTCAGCTCTTCAGCTCAAGGTAGGTGCTCTACCACTTGAGCCACAGCACCTCTTCCAGTTTTCTAGTGGTTATTGGAGATAAGAGTCTCACTGACTTTCCTGCCCAGGATGCTTTTGAACCATGATCCTCAGACCTCAGCCTCCTGAGTAGCTAGGATTACAGGTGTGAGCCATCGGCACCTGGCTAAGATATTCCAACTATTGACTGTTGTGATTGTGTGCAGTTATAATGCCATCATGCTTGGCTGTGAGTGTGTGTGTTTTCTTTTTCTGAGTGCTTTTTTCCCCCTCTAGGCTAGTATTCTATTACTTGAGTCACAGTTCTACTTTTGGCTTTTTGCTTGTTAATTGGAGATCATGGACTTTAAAACCCTGGGCTGGCTTTGAACTACTGCCCTCAGATCTCAGCCTCTGAGTAGCTAGGATTACAGGCATGAACCACCAGCATCCAGCAGATTTTTTTTTTATATTGATTTTATGTTTGCAATAAATGTAATTCAGATTTTTTTCATGTAATTTTATTTTAGTAAAGGTAATCCATTAATTTTTATCAGTCATGGGGCTTGAATTCTGGGCCTGGGTGCTGTCCCTCAGCTCTTCAGCTCAAGGCGAGTGCTCTACCATTTGAGCTACAGCGCCACTTCCGGTTTTCTAGTGGTTTATTGGAGATAGGAGTCTCATGGTCTTTCCTGCCCGGGCTGGCTTTGAACCTAGGTCCTCAGATCTCAGCCTGCTGAGTAGCTAGGATTACAAGCGTGAGCCACTGGCGTCTGGCTGGTAATCCATTAATATTAATGACTTAGATGTTCTCTCTCTTTCTTTTGTAATACTGGGGATTGAACCTTGTGCTTCCTAGCCAAGTGTCTATCACTTAAGTCACACTGCCATCCAAGCTGTGATGGCTATACTATGTGACTTCATATAAATAAGTGGAAAAAATTCTGAGAAAACAAAATCTTTGTCAGACTGTGACTTAATTTGTGATTGGAAAATGTAGTCACTGTCTCTTTTTCTTTTTTTTTGGGTCCAGTCATGGGGCCTGAACTCTGGGCCTGGGCGCTGTCCCTCAGCTCTTCAGCTCAAGGCTAGCGCTCTACCACTTGAGCTACAGCACCACTTCTGGCTTTTTTCTTTTTGCTTATGTGGTGCTGAGGAATCGAACCCAGGGCCTCATGCATGCAAGGCAAGCGCTCTACCACTGAGCCACCTTCCCAGCCCCAGTCACTGTCTCTTGTTCAGCATTTCCTTATCATTAACTCCTGTGTTCAGTTTGTATCTAAAAATGTAATATTATAGAATATTTTAATTTATTTTTAAATATTATAGTGTTAAGACCATTTTTTTCTCCTTTTTGTCTTTGAAGGTCTCCCAGTTAAAGATGTTCTTCACTTGAATGCAATCTGTCCTGTTGGTAAAATAAGAGAGCTATCAACATTGCCTTTTTGTCCTCTTTTAAATATCTTAAAGATGGATGTTTGTAAGATGTTCCTTAATGTGGTCTGCCTATTTGTTGAATTGTAACTGACTTTCAAGTTCTGTTAAATACAAAGAAAACCTCTATGGGTAACTTTTGTGTTGAAGTCACTTGTCAACCATGGTAAAACTTGCAAACCCACTTTATACAGAGTGGATTCTTGAAGCTATACAGAAAATAAAAAAGCAAAAGCAAAGGCCTTCTGAAGAGAGAATCTGCCATGCAGTCAGCACATCCCATGGGTTGGATAAGAAGACAGTCTCTGAACAGCTGGAACTCAGTGTTCAGGATGGCTCAGTTCTCAAAGTCACCAATAAAGGCCTTGCTTCATACAAGGACCCAGACAACCCTGGGCGGTTTTCATCAGTTAAACCAGGCACTTTTCCTAAGTCAACCAAGGGGTCTAGAGGATCATGTAATGATCTCCGCAATGTAGATTGGAATAAACTTTTAAGGAGAGCAATTGAAGGACTGGAGGAGCCAAATGGCTCCTCCTTGAAGAACATAGAGAAGTATCTGAGGAGCCAAAATGATCTCACAAGTACCACCAACAACCCAGCCTTTCAGCAGCGGCTGCGACTGGGGGCCAAACGTGCCGTGAACAATGGGAGATTGCTGAAAGATGGACCACAGTACAGGGTCAATTATGGGAGCCTAGATGGCAAAGGAGCACTCCAGTATCCCAGTGCTTTCCCGTCCTCACTCCCACCTGTCAGCCTTTTACCCCATGAGAAAGACCAGGTAAGTGAACGAGGAGAGTTCCTCAGATTTTTCTAATCTCAATGTTAATTTTTTTTACTCTTACAGTTTCATTAAGTTTTACATGGACAAAGATTCTTCTAGTGAGGTATTATAAAATCAAATGTTTTACTTTAGAACAGGCTTTTATATTTTAAGATTTATAATTGTTCCACAACATATATTGGGTTAAAAATTGTTTTAGAAAATATTAAGCTTTTCTTATTCACTGGCCAAGAATTTAACATGATGACCTTTTTTTTCCTCCTGGTACTGGGGCGTAACTTATACTCACCTTTGTGATAGCTACGCAGGTGTTCTTCTACCACTTGAGCCCACACTCCCTAGTCCTTGTGACTTACTTTTATTCACGAATTGCTAATCAATGAATATTACAAGGTACTTTAATCTTCCTCATGACAGCATCTTAACTGGGTGTGGTGGTACATAACTGTAATCCTTGTACTTGGGAGACTAAGACAAGAACAATGTAAGTTTGAAGCCAGATCTTGTCTCAAAAAACCAGGAAAGAAAAGAAAAAGGGTCATATATAGTTTTAGACACCTAAGCAACATTATTTGTTTATCTTGCAGCATGATTTTTAGAGAATTACAAACTTGTGTAGAAAAATAATTTTGTGTGCGTGTGCCAGCCGTTGGGCTTGAACTCAGGGCCTGGTTTCTATTCTGAGGTTTGTTGCTCTTGAGCATTCTACCACTTGAGTGAACCACAGCTCTACTTCTGGCTTTTTGGTGCTTAATTGGAGAAAAGAGTCTTACAGATTTTCTTGCCTGGCCTGTCTTCGAACCATAATCTTAGCTTTTAAAGTAGCCCAGTCTGGTGCCCAGCCAGACTTCTTATTTTAATACTGGTAACCTTTGCACTCCTGAATTGTTTTAATATGTGACCTAATACCTAATATTCCTGCTTTTACTTTTTTATTATCTAATTCTCAGTGTGTCTTTTTTTTTTTTTTTTTTTGACATGGTTTCTATTAGCACGGGCTTGCCTTGAACTCACCATCCTTCTTTCATCCCCTCCTGAATGCTGGAATTACAGTCATGCACTCCATTGCCTCCCCCACTTTTATTTCTCTAGGCCTTCTGTTATTTTTGTAGCATTATGAATGTTTGGTTTCTCCTTCCAGTACTGCTATGACTAAGTCTTCAGTTTAATATGATTTTCCTTTGTTGTTCAAAACTTCTCAAGTAATCAACCAAACTAGAACCAAAATCTTAACACCAGTGAGATGTTTGTAAGTCTAGTCCCCCAGTTTTGGGGCTTGTTGCTTGCTCTCAGTTAATTTTACCTTCTCTAAACCTTTAACCATTGTTAACAGAGATAGTGGTTATATATTTAAGCTATGTATTTTGAAAGGGTTGAAACCTAACTGTTGGAAAAGCTGGTTAATTTCTTGAATGCCATGTACCTTTTTTTCCCTCTGGATTTTAGCTGGTAGAACTTGACTAGGTTTAGATCATTTGAAGCCTAGAATTTATTTCCCTTCTATATTTGTACCTTAGCCTTCTACAATATTTATTTTATCTGTTGATGGTATTTTTTTAAACCAACCACTAATAAAGATGAGTGAACTCTGACACTTTCTTCTTAATAATATTTGTTGAAAAAATATGAAAGTGACTCATCCTAATTTTTGTGTCTAACACAGCTCCTTTAGGCACATCTATTTCTCCTTAAGATATTTTTATTAGTGTTTATATATAAATATTTATGATAAAATTTCTTAAGGGAATATAGAACCATTTGTTAATAGATTTGGGTATCGTTGTATGTATTCTCCTAAAATATGCAAGGTTTTATAGTTAGCAGGTATGTAGAATAATGCAGGCATCTTTAGTTAATTTAGCAGTATGGTTTTCTAATTTTATGATCTAGGGGATATTTTTACTTGTGGTAGTAGAGTCTCCATAAATTTTCCGTAGTCCTTATTCTATCCTTCACTTTAACCTTGCTTGTCGTTTCTTGCTAACTTTACTATATTTTTTTTCAGGCAGCATCTGTGTGGAAGTATTTTTAGTCTAAAGGAAAATTCGTGTCTGAAAGTGTCTAGGATTGAGAAAAGAGTAATTTATTGCTTAGCATGCAATTGCTACTGTTCTTTTTATGACACAGATCTCTGAATTGTCCAGTTAGCATCATCATTAACAAGAGAAGCTAAGAAAATGTGTCCTACAGTTTTTACTTAATGACATTTGGGGATTAGTTCTTTCAAGTAACCATAATCTAATTCTTGAGCAAATAAAAAATAAAAACTACTTCCAGACAATTTGGCAACATGTTTCTGTTGCATATAATGATAGCATTTTTTTTTCTTGAAAATTTTAGTTCAATTGCATATAATGTATTGCCTTTTGAACTTAGAAGTGGTAAAGAGTTTAAAACCATGTAACCTTGCTAAATGCACACACAAATACACACACACATACACACAGATACACACATACTTACGCACACTCTAGAGATATATTAGAAACTCTTAACCTGAGATCCACAAATGAATAAATGTGCTTAGGTAAGTAGATTAGTCCATAAACACCCCCAAATGATACCCCATTTTTTTTCCTTTTTGGCAAGACTGGGTCTTATGATTGCTAGTAAGGAGCTCTACTACTAGAGCCATGCCTCTAGCCTTCCCAGCATTTTTTAGGCACATGGTCTGTAGCTTTATCAGATTTTTTTAAGGGCTCCAAAATGACATATAGCCAATGTGAACATTTTTTTGTACTGCTAGAAATAGTTTATTTTTTATCCTAAAATCATAATCTGATTAGCCTATATGAATAGCTTAGATTGGCCTTAGCCTCTCAAATGCTGGGATTGAGCAAAGCACCATCACATGTGGCTATGACTCTTGATTATACAGACTGTTTAATCTCTGTGCATATTGGCTTTACTATAGTTTTGTTCACATAGAATTTTTCCTGTCTGGGTATGCACCTGAGCCATTACAGGTCAAGTCACCACATCTACCCTCCCTCCCTGGAGATGGATTCTTGTGAACTTTTCTGCCTGGCCCTGCCATCTTCCCAATCTCAGCCTCCAATGTTGCTGGGGATGACAAGCATTCACTACTGTACCTAACTGTGATTTGAGAAAGGGGGTTTTGAGCACTTCTGCATGGACTGGCCTAGAAAACCATGATCCTCCCATTCAAGTAGCTAGGGTTACAGTTGTGAGCCACTAGTGCCCAGTTTAGATTATCATTCTTGATATTCTCAGAGTTTGTAGAAATTGCTCTGTGGGAGGAAACTTAAGCTATACATAGAAAAAACTTTTCAGAGATGGTGTGATCTCATGTACAATTTAGTCAAATAATATCTTTTAAAGAAGCTGTCATCCTTTTTGTTGTTTTTGAACAGTTGAATTTAATTATAAAACAGAAAATAAAAATAGTAAGATAATAGCTGGTGTTTTATAAGTGTTAAGTACTGGCACTATTCCAAGTGCTTCATTTTTTTTTTTTTTATCTCCTTGACTCATCACAGTAACGGAGGGAAGTAGATTATTATCCTGACTTTATAGATTAAAATCTGAGGATCCAATCTTAAGCAGTTTGCCCAAGGTCACTTACAGAGCTAGTAAATGATTCAAGTCAAGATTCCAAAGAGATAGTCTTACTTCACAGAGTCAGGCTGCTAGGCTTTTGCCCTTTCTAAATTTCTTCCTTTCTTTTTCTTTTTGAGACAGGATCTCACTAAATAGCCCTAGCTGGCTTCAAACTCATGATCTTCCTGCATCCAAGGATTACAGTAGTAAACCACCTTTTTTTTTTTTTATTAATAGTAAAAGTCTCTTTCAGCTCTTGATTAGGAGCAATTTTCCCATAGATTTCTCTTTGTAAATATCATAGTTGGAATGAGCTTATTATAGTTTTTTATTTTTTTAAGCAGATGCTATTTATAATATTAGCAGTAGGGGAATACAGTAGGGAAAGCAGTAAATCTTTGTCTAATTAGATTTAACATCATCATTATTCCTATGCATGACTGCTAGAAGGAATACAATGTAAGTTAAAATAGAAGGGCTTCTTTCTAAAATGTAATTGCACATCTTCTGATAGTCTAGAATTCAAATTGGGTATTACAACACTGGCTTCTTAGCACAAATTCTTTGTATTTATTTAAGAAAGCTCTCTCTGGTGAGGTGATATGGAAATGAATTAAACTACTGAAGATAAAACTTTATCTTTGACTTCGTGAGGAAACTCCTAAAGGATAGTATTAGTGTTTCTCATTAAAAGTGGTAAAGCTCAATTAGGTTGGATTATGAGGACTTTAGAAAGTCAAATATTCTAAGAAAGACTTCAGTTATCACCAGACACTTTGTAGCAGTAAGATTCCATTTGAACATTTAGCCTTTACTATTTTTATAAAGTCAGTTTAGTTCAATTTTAAATGGATTCCTGGGTATTTAACTTTATTGAGACTATCCCCCAAATTTAGTGAGTGTCAAATCTTATAATGTTTCTGCAAATTCTCATTCTGAGCTGGTATCATTACCAAGTAGGGTTTTTTTTTATGTTTTTTTCTTGAAGAAATGTACTATGAGAATCTTACAAAAACCTTCATAATTAGAAGAGTAATGAGATTTTCAGAAAATATTGTTTTTTAAAGGAACACAGATGATTAGAAATGAAGCTGAGAGACAGAATCTAGTTACTTGTCCATACACTTTTTGTCCTGTTTGTTTGTTTACTTATTTATTTATTTTGAGACAGTGCTTACTGTAGAGCCCAGGTTTTTCTTGAACTTGCAGTCTCCTATCTCTTGAGTGCTGAGTGCTGAAAGCTGAAATTACAACTTTGTACCGCCATGCCCAGCTCCCTAGCCTAAAAAGAGAGCATTTTATTAGAAATCTTGTCAATATAGCCAATATAAAGTATTAACTGAATATACATGCACATTAACTGAATATACATGCACACCCTACATGAATTTCTTGAGTAAATGACATAAATTAAATAACATAATTTTTTTTTTTTT